CAGAGGCAGTAGAGGATGATGGAGGGAAGAAAGGATGTAGAAAGGGGGAGGAGAGAGGGGGAAAGAAAGTGTTGGATAAATATGGTGTATGGAGAGCAGAAGAGCCAATAACTGGTTTTCTTTCCCCCTTTGGTAGTTGATGGTAAGATGAATTGATGTAATTACTTAATAATACAACATGATATTGACTATGTAATAGTATACATGTGATTATATGCTATGAAAAAGGAAAATAAAACAAATTTCTATGTAAAAAAAAATAAAATTCCTTTCTAGAAAGCCAAGGTCATCCTTTGTCTCTGCACCTGACCGGAACTGGATGGGTGGAACTGCCAGCGTGGCAGTGGCAGTTTGGACCATGGGATGGACTTGTGGGTGTGGGGGCAAGATCTTGAACTCTCAATTGGGTGTGTGGGGGGGGGAACCCTGGAAGCTCAGATTCGGGTTTCCCCAGATGTGCCAACATGGCTCTCTTAATCAATGGGAACTTTGAGTAATACTTGGACTCTTGATTTAATTTTGGATGTTATTTGGAACCCTGACAGTCTGTTTGGAATTCCAATGGCACTGAAAAAGTTTTTTTCTCAAACTGATGACCACTGCAGCATCCCCATGGTCACTCAAAATTCAGATGCTTGGCAACTGACTCATATTTATGATGGATGTAGTATTCCAGGATCAGGTGGTCCCCTTTTGTGACCTTCTGACAAGCAAAGCCAACGGGGAAGCGAGATTCACTTAATAACCCTGTTCCTATGTTAAAAAACTGCAGTGATTCATTAACAACTGTGTTAATGAACCCAACCCAACCCAACTGAACCCAACCCAAACCAACGGAATCACAGGCCAAGCTACTAAATCAACCCTACTTAACCCAACTGAACTCAACTCAACCCAACTGAACTCAACCCAACCCAATCACAACCTAAGCTACTAACTAAATTAACCCAACCCAACCCAACTGAACCCAACCCAATCACAGCCCAAGCTACTAAATCAACCCTACTTAACCCAACTGAACTGAACCCAACCCAACTGAACTCACAACCCAACCCAATCACAACCTAAGCTACTAACTAAATTAACCCAACCCAACCCAACTGAACCCAACCCAAACCAACCGAATCACAGCCCAAGCTATTAAATCAACCCCACTTAAACCAACTGAACTCAACTCAACCCAACCCAACTGAACTCAACCCAACCCAACACAATTCAACCCAACTCAACTAAACTCAATTCAACCCAACCCAACCCAATCACAGCCCAAACTACTAAATCAACATGACCCATCCCAACTGCACTCAACCCAACCCACTGACAGTCTAAGCTACTAACTCAACCCAACTAAACTCAATTCAACCCAAACCAACCAAATCACATCCCAAGCTACTAAATCAAGTGAACTAAATTAAATTCAACTCAATCACAGCCTAAGCTACCAAGTCAACTCAACTCAATATACCCAACTCAATCACAGCCCAAGCTACTAAATCAACCCAACCCAACCCAACGCAACCCAATCACACCCCAAGCTAGTCAATCAACTCAACTCAATCCAACCTGACCCAACCCAACCCAACCCAACCCAACGAAAGCCTAAGCTAGTAAGTCAACTCAACTCAACTCACCAATGTCTTGCACAACGGGAAAACCTCCCCCCCCCCCACTCCCAAAAAATACACATGCTGGAAATGCAAGATATAAATAAACCTGTGCAGGCAGGTCTCTGCGTGCCAGGCAGGTGCCCGGCCGTACCTGGGTTGATGACGGGCACCATGACATCGCCGTTCCTCTCTTTGGTCTCCTCACGTGCCAGCTTCTGTTCCTCATAACGCCGCCTCCCTTCTTCCTCTTGGTCCTTCTGTGCAAACTAGCAGGAAAGTTAAGCGAGACTGTTGTTGTTAAATGAATTTTGCCCCACTGTGCCACCTTTCTTGCCACGGTGGTGAAGTCAGGCTTTCCCATCGACAAAAGGCGGTGATGTGACCCCGGGACATTGTGACCGTCATAAGTCCATGCCAGCTGCCATGTGTCTGAATTTTGATCACGTGACCAAGGGGACGCTGCAATGGTGTGAAAAATGGTCATACGTCTTTCCCCCCCACTTGGAACGGTCACCAGGGCTGAAATCCAGCAGGTTCTGACAGGTTCTGGAGAACCGGTGGTGGAAATCTTGAGTAGTCCAGAGAACCAGCAATGCCACCTCTGGCTGGCCCCAGAATGGGGAGGGAATGGGGATTTTGCAGTATCTTTCCCCTGCCACGCCCACCAAGCCACACCCCCACCAAGCCAAGCCACGCCCAGAGAACCGGTAATTTTAAAAAAATTGCATTTCACCACTGAAGGTCACTAGATGAATGCGTCAGATCTGGAAGCCACCTTTAAGTCACAACGAATCAGAAACGGAGGAATAGTCCGACATTGAATGAAAAAAAATCCGCCAATAGGGATCCAAAGGACTAAACAATGAAACTCACTTTTCCCCCCAGCTACAAATGAGCATCACCTGTTTTCTTCCTTCAAGACTCACCTGGATTGGAGGGACTTCCAAAACCTTGTTGACGTTGTGCAGGGAAAGAGGGACGTACCACAACGTGGCCTTGTTGGTCACTCTCTTCGTCCCTAAGGAGAAAGGAAGAGGCTGTAAGGGAGCAGATCCCGAGAAATGAAGCTGGGGACAATCAGTTCTCCGGCTCTGTTTGAAGCCATGGATACATGGATTCACCTGAGTTTGTATTAATCAACAGATTAGGGGTTGTAAGCAAACTAGCCGATGAATCATTCTCAGGGCCACACCCTTATCAAAAGTGGTTGGCAGCTGCTCTCAGAGACAAGGAGTGGCTCTACTTCACCAAAATATGGACTGCTAGGTTCACCAATTCAGTTTAATTCAACTGAACCCAATCACAGCCTAGGCTACTAAGTCAACACAACTCAACAACCTAACCCAATCACAGCCCAGGTTACTAAGTCAACTCAACTCAATAACTGAACCCAACCCAATCACAGCCCAGGCTACTGTCAACCCAACTCAACAACCCAACCCAACCACAGCCCAGGCTACTAAGTCTACACAACCCAAGAACCCAACCCAATCACAGCCCAGGTTACTAAGTCAACTCAACTCAACTCAACAACTGAACCCAACTCAACCCAATCACAGCCCAGGTTACTAAGTCAACTCAACTCAACAACTGAACCCAACTCAACCCAATCACAGCCCAGGCTACTAAGTCAACTCAACTCAACAACTGAACCCAACTCAACCCAATCACAGCCCAGGCTACTAAGTCAACTCAACTCAACCCAACCCAACCCAATCACAGCCAAGGCTAAGTCAAATCAAATCAACCCAATTCAAGTCAACCCAACCCAACCCAACTCAATCCATCCATCCCTGGCTATTAAGTCAACTCAACTCAGCCTGCAGGGAATACAACATACAAAATAACAGAGTTGTAAGGAACCTTGGAGGTCTTCTTGCTCTGCTCAAGCATGAGACCCAATAACCACGTCAGACAAACGGTTGTGCAGTCTCTTCTTAAAGACCACCTGTGAAGGAGCACCTACAACTTCTGGAGGCAAGTTGTTCCACTGGTTAATTGTCTTCACTGTTAGGGAATTTCTCCTTAGGATGAGTTTCCATCCTCTGCTTCCTGTCCTGCCCTCTGGTGCTTTGGGAAATAAGTTGACCCCCCCCTCCTCTTCTTTGGGGCAGCCCCTCAAATATTGGAAGACTTTTTTGATCTCTAAAGTTGGAAGTTCCCACCAGTCTTACTCCTAATTTTTAACTGATAGCAGGAGACTTCCCTTTTGGGGTTCTCATACGATGTCAACGCCCCCCCACCCCACGAGTCTTCAAGCAGATACCTGAGCTTTGCATGGCAATCTTATCTGGAAAGCCTTTGCTTCCTCCCTGATCCTCCTTTGCGTCGGTTGCTATGGCAACCCCTTCCCCAGGAGGGCTTCGGCATGTGAGGGGGGTGGGTATCAGCCGTAAATCCTATTCCACTCCCCCCCACCCTGGCAAGCTGTCATATCCGCTTGGGATCAAAGCCTGAACAAGGAGATCAATTGCGGTCGTAAGTCCGAGGACTGCTGCCTGTAGAAGGGAGGGGAGGAGGAGCGGGGAGGAAGGGAGGGGAATTGAGATGTCCCAAGGGTCTCCTTTAAAAATTTGACTGAATTCCTGGACATCAAAGGCACGCAGTTAATTTTTCCCTTTCGTGTTGTTCTACCCCCTGAAGGACATTTGGGAGGGACGCAACCACGTTTCTCCAGCTAGCAAAATACAGATGGTGTTTTCGAAGCAGATTCAAGGAACAGGGGAGGGGAGGGGGCCTGCTAGGAGAGGGAGGGCGAGCTGGGAAGAAGAAAGCAAGAGACACAATTGAGCTGACCCTCCCCTCCCTTCCTGATGACCCACCACCACCACTCCCCAGCTCATCTGTAGCCCCTTGAAAACAAGGTCAGGTGCCGTGTCAAAAGCAGAGCAATCCTGCAAATTTTCTGCTCCGTTTGAAACTTCTTTTTGGGGGGGGGGGAGAATCTGTTTGTCTTTGCAACACAAAATGCGATGCCGTGTTTCCCTTGGCAGAAGGAGAGGGCTGGATGGAAGGCCAGGCGTTTTGTCGTTGCAGCTTCCTGCAATAACACCAGCGGAACTGCAAAAAAAAAACCGCGATACTCAAGAACATCGTATATATTTAAGAAGGTACCAAGATGTTGGCAGCAACCCGTATCAACCATTAGCATCAGTCAATGGTACTGGTGACACATCTTTGTTCTGACCCCCCCCTTCTTCGCTCGTTCACAGGCGACAGTCAGACAGACTTAAAAGGAACTAATTTTATCAGTCCTGGCTCCCGCTGGCTGCGAGCCCAAAATAAACATAAATAAAGTCTCTGGCAAGAAGATAACAGAATGCAAAAACAACGATCTCTTATGGCAAAACCAGGTGTTCAAGAAGCAAAATCACTTATCCAAGTGTCTCACAAACTCAAACAGGAACGGAACTGAATTCTCCATAAACGAACCACGAACGAACGAATGAACGTTGACTCCTGCAACCAGGGCGCGTGTCACCATCAGTCCTTTTATCTCCAGAAGACGACACTAACGAGCCCCCAGCTGCGTTGTTATTCCT